TCTCTCATCTAATGTGTGGAGCACGAATCGTCAATCACTTTGCACTGGGCTGCCAGTGTTATCCTTAAAAATTGAGTAAAATTATGCAGCCACTAGACAGCTCACTTTCAACGGATTTCGCGAACGGCTCAAAAGACCGTGTTGAAGTCCAAAACGGCCTATTCGACAAGATTTCTCAATTATTCAAAACCTAGCTAATCATATTTGCAGTCCAAAAAGAGGCTTGGTCACGTGACATCGCCCGAATAGAAGATGGCGAGGAGAGATGTAAGTATCTCTCATTGCACCGATTTTGTGTTTCTTTCCATCTCTACTTTTTTCTGAATTGGTCTTGTTTTTCACTAAGCCTAAATTGAATGCTTCTTTTCAGAGGAGACGTTTACGAAAATCGCGGGAATGAGCAAGGTACGATAGCGACGACTTGTTGTCAATAAGCAAATGACCTGTTCAAATGACACTTACATTATTTTCATTAACAAGAAGTCTTTTCACACCTATCTGCTTTAGCCGAGTCCTTCACAGTCGTAAAACAACCAACAAGCAATCACTTTCAGTGTAACTTTGAAATTAAGGCGAATTGTCAGTCCGATCCGATCCGATCCAAGCAATCTGATCCGAGTTTTGTTAACGGCCCACCGAGATCCTTGTTGTGGGCGTCCAACGGACTAGATGACTTACCGCAAATACCTTAATTTTCGAATGGCATGGGAATCCATCAAAGGATTGTGGAACATCGAAACACAATGCAGTAAGAAAAGCGGTAGAAGCGGTCAGATTCAGGGATGCTTTGAGGAGGGCGCAAAAGGAACGATGATCTTTACAAACGTTTCTGTCCAAAAGTTGGATAAGAAAGCGAAAGAAGATTCGTCAGATACCTCATCTGTTTCCTTTACAGACGCTGACGGTAGAAGTCAGTTTGCAGATGGTTTAGGTTCCACCATTGCCAAGACATTAAAAAGCAACACATTTGTCATGGACTGGGTTGCTTACAGCGGCGACAGTTTCAGTAGTGGCGACGACTTAGATGTCATTATCGTCTTGGCAGACATTAAAGTACTTGGTCTCGTCACCACCTCTACCCCATCAATCAACTTCAAACACACAATCTTCAGCCATAGAAAAAGGAAAGCTTCCCTTGCAAGTACATGGGTCCAAGATATGGGTGAAATTATTGGCTCTGTGCTCTGATAAATCGTGTTCTCGAACCCAAACATTGGCCTGGAATGGTGCTGCTAAATTCTCCACTGCAAACTTCCAGCTTTTTGGAGTTATAGCTTTTCTGCTCTTGTACCAAGTGTTTATGTAGATGAGTTGTCGAGTGTGTTTATTAATAGGTTTATAGAGCTGTAGTATAACACTAATAGAATTTTTAGTTACTTGCATCAAAAAGCCTGCTATACAAGAACAATCTAGTGGTTAACTTCCGTATTTGGACAAAGACTAAGTGGCAAGTATTAACAACGGTTAAAAGAAAATTTCATGTAACAAACAGACTATCTGTAGGTTAGCTATACTCCATAACAGGTCTTCCTCTATATTACGGGGAACACATTGATTTCATACCTCTAGGAAAGTCGCCTGAGGCGGTTGCTGCTTGTTGAAAATGATCTCTCAGATAATAAAGTGTTGCTGTTTTTAATGCCGAGAGGCTGTTGGAAACGCCAGTATTGGAGTCAGTCGTATCAATATTAGCGGAGCTCTCGCACGCGAAGCGCGCCAGCGGAGCACCATGGGTAAGAAAAAGAAGTAATCTACCCATCCGAGAAAATTTGGCAATCACGTGACCGTAAACCGACCGACCGACCGTCCGTCCGCACCACAGGCATACCAATGTAAAATAACTCAATCAACAGGTATGTTAACCCAAATGCAACTCGAGGTTATTTTGGCGGGAAATCGCATAGCCACCGGCGTCTTGTAAAGCAGAGACAACAAAAGAGTCAATAAAGACGAAAACGGAAAGCGCAAATTGTTTCTGTATCCGTGTTGTCTAAAGTATTTAGTTTAGATTAATTGTGATGTCCACAAATTTGGATTATAGAGTAGGAGAAAGACAGAGAAAAAGAGAAAGGGCGACAGAGGTCTAGAGCGAGAGATAAAAACAACGAAAACATTTATTTGTTGGAAAACAACATAAAAATTTTGTAGCGGCGATGACAAAATGGGAAATGCTGGCGGCCACCAATGCAAAGTGAAAATGAACGGCAGTGAAAAAAAAGTGAACGAGAACACGTACGACATTTCCTCCATTAAACGTGTAACTAAGAAGTTTCTGGAAGTTTCACGCGAGTGTAGTCGTGCAAACAACGGCAAAGAAATGTACAAAAAAAGTGTGCTGCACGTGCAAAGTTGCTTTTTTTGCTAATTAGACCTATTGTTGTTTTTCACCATTCTCTGGCGTTGCCTTCGCCGCTTAGCATTACTTAACAGTTAATGAATGAGGCTGAGTATCTTATGAAGAATTATGGAGATCGAGGAGGGTGTTATCCGTCGAGGCCGTAGACCGAGGCGGATAACACCCTCCGAGATCTCCATAATTCTTCATAGGATACGAAAGCCGAATTCAATAACTGTTTTATTATTCATTCAAAATAATTCCTAGTTTAAAAACATAGCTAAAACATGCTTACCTCC